AGTATTTATATAAGATACCCGATTTTGAAGTGGCACTGGTTCAACTTTTAGATGGAAATTTTTAATACTAACTTGCAGTGCACATGAAACAGGTGGAAAAGTCCATGTGGTTTTTACATTTCATACACATTTGAATTTTCAAACAATACGAAAAGAGGCATTGTGATGAGCATTTTTGCCTAAACTGTTCTTTTTTCTTTAAAGAACCATCAGCAGAATCCCCTGATTTTAACAAAGATGTGATACAGTAACAGGATGGTAATAGATTATATTATTGTGTACTTTAGATGGAAATAAAGTGCATATTGTATACTCGACCTGATTTAAAAATGGGCACGCATAGCTGAGATAATCTTGTATTTTAAAATGGAATTGTATGAGCAATCAAAAAAGACAGTTTTTGCCACATTTGACTTTTTTGCTATTTTTAACAAGTGGTATCTTCCAACCACTAATTATCAGAAAAAGTACAGAGACAGAAGAAAGACCCAACAGAAGTAACAAAGACAAAAAATGCACTTTGTGAAATACTACTACAAATTCTGCAAATATGTAAAGATGAAATCTTGTCATAAGATTAGCTTAAAAACTTTAAATTACAGTCTGCTTTTAGGATCTTAGGCTTTCTTCCTTTTTAAGCCAGTTAAACCAGGGATATACTGTGTGTTATTTTCCTCAAACTGTATTACAATGGTGAGAGAGAATTTTATTTCATAGGAAGAATAAGAGATCAGGTCAATTTCTCATTGTAAATATTTTACAATGTATTCTAGTCCTCATGTCCTTTTCTGCAAAATCAGCAATTAAACCACTTAGAACAGAAAAAAAATTACCCATAAAGAGAGTACATATAGATCAAGTCATTTTATGTGAGTTAAGTACATCGAAAGATTATAAAGAAGCAACAGTGTCATGGTTAATTTCAGAAATGTTTTGAAGTTGCTCATTGTCCCTTGGATGACAGAAAACAGGGATCCCCATTTTAGGAAAGGGGCATGGCCCCAAATTTTTTCTTGCCTTAGGTCAAGTGATTTGGCCCTCCCATATTGATCCATCTATTTATCTATGCCTGAAATGGCTTTTCTGAAGGCAGTTCTTGTCTGCATGACTGACTGGCAGAACTGTTTCTAGTGGGATACATTCCCTTTGTCCCTGTGTCTTCTGTTTAAAGATCACTCCGGGAAGGAGAGAGGAAGACACTGCATAACATGCATATGAAATGCAGACTGCCTCCCCATTGACAGGCCTTCCTAAATATGTACTTTCATATAGTGCCTTTTGTTGGGCTTTCTATGTGTATTTGTAAGCTTCTCCTAGAATGGAGCATAAGAAACTTGGATGGTGCAATAAAGTTATATGCTAAGTATTTAGCCAGATGAAAGGCAAGGAGGTAAAGACACCTTCAGTAAGAACATGATGAATGAAGAAGGGCAGAGGAAAAATGGGACCGGATGACTTGTTATTTCCAAGTTGAAAGTGGATGGTTTGGAGAGCAAAGAGGAAATTCTTAATTTAACAGATCACTGGGGATGTTGTTGTTCTGCTTTTCCATCTAGTTGATCTCCATTGAAAGGAAAAAAAAAGATCATTCCTATGTAATGCATAGAAATAGAATAAAAAATAAAACCAACCACTACTATAGAAAACTGTATTTTCAATGTAGTTATGGTGACTTTTAAACCCAGAATTAAACATGGACTAAACATTTGCAAGAATTAACTAAATTCTGAAGTTCAAGTAGCTTTCCTTAGTTTGAAACCTGATGGTTGCTGGGTGATAAGCTGAGAAATACCAAGTACAACTACTTATAAAATGTATCACAATGTTCTCATCTAACACCTCCCTCTTTTTTCATCTTATACCAGATGTATATCTTTTTCTGCAGTCACTTCCTCTCCGTTTTTAATTCAAGGTGAGAGTATATAGGTGTTCTGCATGACAGTAAGTTGTAAAGAGACTGCAATGTGTTTCACACCTTCACAGGAAGTGACTTTAGTGCAAATACACGAGTACATACCACAGACTAGCCAAGGGCATGCTTTGCTCTGTATTTCAATGTATGCATTTCAAATAACCTTAGTATAAAAATGTTGAAAATCTGATTAATTTTAAAAAATAAGTTAAAACAAACTTTCTTTTGCATCTACAGTATAAGCAGATACAACGAAGCATCACAAAAATAATTAGGTTTGCTAAAGGGAAGTAAGGCAGAGCAATTCTTAAAAAAAAGAACAAAATAATGTGTACTCCATTGTACAAGTTGGCAACCATACACAATACTGAATGAAAATAAGGGAAAGCTTGTATAAGGCCAAAGGTGCAAAGACTTGCAGTTTTGAAAGCAAATGCCATAAAGGCCACTCAAATTAGACTCACTGTACTTTCTCCTCAAGTGTGGAGAATCAAGCATGCAGTTCTGAGATCAGGACTGGAGATAATTTCCTTGCAAATTATTTCTAACAACAGAAAACACTTATGGAACTTCTTTGGCAAATGTCTTTAGGTTAGTTTGACACAAACATCTATGAACATCTTGACTCAAAATCTTTTTAAAGAAGGTGAATTAACACCATTAAGATACTGTTATTTTCAGCACTTGTTGAAATCAAAGGCTTATTATCAACTGTATTTAAATATATTAACACTTAAAAACCTTCACAGATGCTAATTGATCTGTCACTGTAAAGTATGTTTAGCACTCTGACCACTGCCTTCTGAGTATATGACCAGTATTGATTCAACTTCATTGTAAAATAAGCAAGCTGGCAAGATACAAGGTAAATTCCAATCTGTTTACAAAGGCTAAGCAAATACCTGTTAAAAAATTTAGAGATGGTGTGTTACAGTATAGTTGCACAGTGCTTATGTCTACTGAATACACAAATCCAAACTTTATGGAACAGGACCATCATAGATCTTTCAATCTCTGATAACTGAGCCATGGTCGTAGCTCCCAGCAAAGATCTAGCAGTCTGTCTCACAAAAATAACCACTAGAGCCTGAATCTTGAGCTGTGTTCCTTCACCATTCCTCAGGCCTCTGCTTCGTGGTATCGTAAGCTCTTATGACTTCAGACTGGGAAACGATTCCATTTTCATCTTGAGAGAAGGCATAGCCATCTGCAGAGATAAAGCAAAATAGAAACTAATCATGTTTTTTAAAAACTTTAACAAAAACAATTTAACAAAGGTCAACGGAGGGGAATAAATCACTTTTCAGCAATTAGTAAAAAACCATGCCATTTCTTACATAATTTTGCAATTATAAAACAGCAGAAAGTGCTCTGTGCAGTATCTCAGGAATGAAGAGAAACCTAACAGGCAAAAAAACATGCTCTAATAGGTTAAGGGTACAGCAGCTTTACTATAAATGTAGTGAAAAGTAGAATTTTACTTCTGTGTTATTAATGGATGTTAATTTTTGTCAGTGAACACTTACGAAGCAAGTTTTGCTGCAAAGAGTCAGAGCGGTACAGGTTCACATGGTTCTTCTTAAAAACATTCTTCAGTAGTTGGGCTCTTTCAGTTAAGCTGGAAAGAAGGTAGACACGTGAAAAATATTGACTTACTAATTGTACTATCCCTTTATCTTTGAGTCTGTTCAGTGGGAATTAATTATTCAATGAAAAGTGTCCGCTCTCCTTTTTAAATTGTGCCTGATGAATTATTAAAAAGATGATTAAAAGTGTGTGTAAGGAAAGAGTATTATGTCCAGATCCCTAGTAATGATTGTACTTCTCACAGTACAGGCAAAATGTCTGTTTGAAGCACTGCTGTGCACTGACAACACAAATAAATAGATAATATTGCAAAGCTGTAAACATAACTCCTTGAGAAACACACAATGTAAAGGGAAGGCACTGGTTTCCTTGACGTAGCATGGCTTGATTACTGCCAGGCTGAATTACTCTTAGTCTTTCTTTTTCTTACATGGAAAGTGCTCCTAGGCCCTCCTGACACAGTATGTCAAGGGATGGGAAATGGAGATGGAGGGAATGTCACATCCATAGTCATCAGCTGTGTGTACAGAAACATATCACTTCCACGAAAAGCCTTCTAGCAAGGCCTGTTCCCAGGGAAACTCTAGAAGGTGTTTTTGTGGAAATCATACCCAAATAACAGACTACTCTCAGTGCTAGAAGTTGGCCACTTCAGCCCATCTCCTTCCTTCCCAGCACTACCAAGTTTGCTGTGTTACATGTTTGTTGTGCTTCGGTGTGACTCAAGTGACCCTCCATTTCAGCCCAACTGCCCTTCTAGCAAGGCCTGTTCCCAGGGAAACTCTAGAAGGTGTTTTTGTGGAAATCATACCCAAATAACAGACTACTCTCAGTGCTAGAAGTTGGCCACTTCAGCCCATCTCCTTCCTTCCCAGCACTACCAAGTTTGCTGTGTTACATGTTTGTTGTGCTTCGGTGTGACTCAAGTGACCCTCCATTTCAGCCCAACTGCAAAGCAAAAGTGGTGTGACCCTAGTGACCCTCCATTTCAGCCCAACTGCAAAACAGGAGGAGTATAAATGTCTCTGACATTTCAAGTCTCTGATTTCAAGTGGGATACAAAGATAATTATAAAACCAGTGGTGAAAACATCGAGTTCGTTTCACCTATATAAGAAAGGATTTGGGGAAATGCTGTAGGATGAAGGAAAAGCATACTGCCTACACAACTGAAGTTAAAGTAGCTGAATTTGGGAATACAAGAGAAGTCTAGGGAATGCAAATATGGAATACTAAACAGGTATGTTACCTTACTTTCTTCTGCATCCACAAGATGTTCCCCTTTTAGCACCATCTGGTACTAATGCCTGCAATCCATTTTACAAGTTTTGTTCTTTGCAAAAGAGCACACAGCATACATTACTTCTGGCTCAAAGCTCAGCACATTGGTATATGAGTTGGTTAATCTGGAGGAAGATCTTGCCCTGAATCTGTCTGAATGAGAGTTGCCACTGGAGAAAAGGATCCATAGCAATCAATTTACATCACCTTTAAAAGGTAGGAGAACTTACACTTGCAAACCCTAGTTGGGCCTTGCAGTGATGAAGGAAAAGTAGGCTTGATGCAGGAGTTGCTATCACCTAGGGGAGTTTGCAGTACTTCCAGGCTGAAGCTGCTGCTACAGAGACAGCATAGAGAGCCTGACAGGAGACCATATACAGGTATAGCCTCCTATGTAGCCCAGAACACTAGACCAGGTGTTCCAGGGGGGGTGGGATAAGCTTCAGGCATCACAGGATCTCCTCTGGGACCCACTAGAGACAGAACATTCTTGTGAAAATAATTTCAAGGAAAGGAAAAGTAGAGGCAAGCACTCACACAAGCTTGATATTCCACCCACTAGAAAGGGTTGTCACATTGGTATCTGATGTAATTTGGTCTCAACCTGCTAAATCCTACTAAGATGTATTCCCACTGACTGGAGAAGGAGAAAGGGAACTTAAGTATCTTAGGAATAAAAAGTACTTTTTGAAAATTGAACCTACGATAAAAGAAATGGCTGTTTGTGTTTTTCTGGTCTCTTTCTGTGCAAAGCTTGGTAGGAAAGAAAAAGCCTTCTTGGCTAAGCCCTTTGCCATGAAGATATGAAAAGAACAGCAGTCCAAAGGAAAGAAAGAACAGGAAAATCAAGTATCAGCAGTTTTGGCTTTTTTTAGTCTTCACAAAACTCATGAAAATGAAGACAAGGAAAGAAAGCTCTAGTTCAGCCAAATGGCACTAATGAATTGGAATGGAGAGAGAGAGAGAGATTTTGTCATCTCATACTCCCATTCAGCAAGTGCTTGCTATGAGTTCACTTAGGGTTAAAAAGTCGGAAGTGTTTTAGTCAGTGCACACCTTTATGCTGAGTTTACACACAGAAAATGTCCAATTGTTCAGTTTTACATTCTCCCCTTTCAAATTACCAGTTTGGCCCGTGAAGGAGGATGTAACAAGGGAACTCTTGTGGAGTCTTCACTTATAAATTTTTCCTACTGCATATAGGTTAGTCAAAGTGGTTTGCTCTGGAGTGGCATCAGATACAAAGCCAGCTTGTTATATTCAATTTCAGAAAATCCTAGACAAGATTTTGCTTTTTGTCCTAAGCAGGTTTAAAAATAAATTACTTCTTTTTGTGCTTAGGCCCACCAATTTATAACAAACTCGTTTTGTATTTAATGTTAACACAGTTATAAGTGACAGAATTGAAACTGTACCTCAAGTTTGTTCTATATGTACTAACTAGAAACCAGTCAGCTACGAAGAAACATATCAGTTAGAGCTTTTGGTAAAAAGCTGCATCTAAGTATATGAAAAAACATTTGGGATCAGTAGACCCGAAACCACTTTACAGATGCCTTTTGTTTGTACAGATTTGGTCTTTGATACATGTACAAGGCTTAAAATATTTAGCTTTTTATTTTTAAGACAATGTTTTACAGATTTTTACAGTACCTCTTGCCATGCACAAGTGCCCCGGGATCCTCAGACTTTGCTTCCAACTCCTGAACTTCATCTACCAGTGTCTTATAAGTAGCTCTCTTTACTCTGTAAGTGATAAAAAATACTGCCATGTTTCCTATTCTTCAAAGTAGAACAGATAGTTTTAACACTTATATAAATATTCAGTTTATAAATCCATTTTCCCATACTTAAAATTAACCTTTACAAGAAGAAACATAATAAATCTAAAGAATGTATTTTTTCAGCTGTTCTTACAAATTCAAAACAAAAAATATTTATTACTAAGACATTACAATTATTGAAACATTTCAAATACTAAGAACAATTGTAATACTTCAACAAAATCCAACAAGGTAGAAATAACTTTATATAAGCACCAGAACGGATCTTAATTTGCTTTCCTTATATTAGCAATTAATTAGCACACATTTAAAAGTCACTACTCTTCCATAAACCTTGGCATTTCTGTACTCACACTTTGTATACTATATCAAGAAGTAAAGCTGTCATAGGAATACACAGAAGTCCCATCCAAAATACTCCAGAGCTGAACATCATAGCTGCCTGGAAGGAAAATGCACAAAATATGATGATGTCATGGCAAGAATTAGAAAAAAATAATCTTAGAAATATCAACATATAATTATGTCATGGTCAGAACTAGAAAAAAATAATCTTAGAAATATCAATTACTTAGTTGAGGCTATCAAAGACACATTGAAATGAGCCATTCTACTCTGTCTGCTGTGAAATCAAACTTGAACTCCTTTCTAAAATCCCCTGAGTGGCAATAGAAATCCAGCAAAGCATTAATTTGTGTTAAGAAGGTGGTAGGAAGATCACACTGCTTAGCCCTTTGAGAGGGGATCGACCCCTCCACAACCCTCTCTGCATCACTGTGCTGATTGTAGGTATTTCTATTAAAATCAGCTTTATCAAAAACTCACTCTAATCTTCGTTAATACACTATGAACACAATTTCCTATTTGCAGTCGACCCCCACAGGATACAGCAGTTCATGATGCTTCATATGGACACTGTTACAATAATTCTGCAACATAACTTAGATCAAAGTTATCTTCAGGAGAACTTGCTATACCACAGTTCTCACACTGCCACAGACTCCTGTTAAACAGATTGCTTAAAAATGAGAACTAAGAAAACAATTCTTTACGTAAACTATGCAACAGATTGTTAAATGAAGATGGAACACATTAATGCATGGTGAAATAGATGAAAACCTTATAATGGCTTTTAGCTGTGTATTTGGTTTTTTATATGCCACTTTCTAAAATGCACAGGAATTTCTTCTGTTCATAACTTGGTCTGTAGACACCCTAAAAACTAAAACACGTTAAAAAGCCAAACCAAATATCATAATGTATGGACGACACAGGAAAAAAAAGTCTTTAACCTTGCAATCCATACCCAAGTGTTACTTCAATAATATTAGGGATGCAAGAAGTATGATAAATACTTCACCAAGCATATTATTGCAAGTTTGTTTTGCAGTCCATATTAAAAATACCTTTATAATGCAATTAGATTGCACACAGGTTGAAAGTAACATTGCTACATGACTATACCCTTTCAAATCCTGTGTTTTATTACTTGGAGACTTCTTTCAAAGATTAAACCCCAGCATGTAAGTAAAATAATTAAGCCAAAATTTTACTAGCATTAATCAGCAGATGAATGCAGGTAGCTTGCAGTAGCTAAAATCTAATTTCTCAACACACATACATAAACATTTTAGAATTATACTCAATATATTGATATGTAAAAACATAAGTGAAGCATTTTCAGAAAAAAACCCCTAATTATCATGTAAGTAAAAAGTTATTTACCTTGGTTTTGTATCCAAATTCCTACTGGCACTGAATTCTTTGGAAAGCATTTGAATGTATTTTAACAAAAAATTCAGTGAACTCTCCATAGCTACATGAAGAGGACATAGATATTGCCCTGAGATTCTAGTAATTATTTCTGCCAACAGCTATTAGCAAAGGTATAAAAACTGAGGAGTGGCAATTCACAAATAAAACAACTCACATTTTGAATGAAGGAAAAAACAGAAAATTGTGTTTCAGGAACTGGAGAAAATGTATTAGCACAGTCACTTTCTAAGCAACTTGACGAAATTTTCTAAAAGAGCAGCTGATAGGAAATGTCTATCACAAATACATTTTGCAAGACATTTTATAATTATGTCGCAATTAGAGATACAGCTTCCTAAAAAAAAAATATGAAGAAAAGCATAAAAATACAACTCGAAATAACGACGACTCTTCCTTCCTATTATGAACAACATTTTTTGATTTCTAAGAGCATAGCAAAGAGCTGTCCTTGCGTTAGCCACCCGGTACTAAATGTTTGCTGGTGAAACAGCAAAAGTGATAATGTAGGTCTTAGGATGTTAATTCTGACCATTGTAATGCTAACTATGAATGAAGGAACAACTGGCGCCTACTATTCAGTCCATCCAGCCTTTGGCTTTACAAATGAACAACATGAATTGAGGTAAAAAAAAAAAAGTTTTTCTGCGTCATATTTGAAAGCCTGTCAGATTTTTTTCCTTTTACAGAGTTAATCCAAACCTAAAAGATTTAAAGCCGACATTCGCATTAAAGACAGAGGGCCTCTTTGTATTTTTTGGACGAAGAGGGGAAAAAATAAAATCCCACAGAGGTATTTCCTTCCTTTCTGTACAAGAAAGCTCTCCCCTCACTCTGTAGAAACCATTTTTGTCTCTAACTTTTCACATCTCTCTACACATAGGCAGGTCATCTGGGAAATGGCAAACCAATCCTTTTCAGACAATGGCACTAACAGGAGCAGCCTGTTCTGGGGACGGACTCTGGCTGCCTCTGTTTGTGGTTTACAAATTGTTCCTAATGTGAGAGATTTGTGCTCTATGCCAAGTTTTCCCCCCTCTAGGCCTTGTGAAACCAAATGGAATCTGCCACAAAAGTGGCTCCCAGGGGAATTCAGAAGTAATCCAAAATGAGAGCTGGGAAGCCCAGTTTATTGTAGGAGTTGCAAATCCTGCAGGGAGGATAAATAATTTGTTCTATGTGGAGCTCTTGCTCAGTATTAGGACTTTCGAAAATAAATTAGCATTGCTTATTAAATGCGATGCGCAGACTTTTATATAAATTCTTACTTTTTAAGAAAGAAAAAGGTGCTGAGAAATACTCCTTTTCATGGCTTAGAGGCAGGTTAGAAATCCTGGCTGTGAAACATTTTTAATGCACTGATGAAGACATACTGTTAGGAAATTACATGTCAGAATAAACAGAGAATATTCCCTTTTTCTCCATTACAAAATGATCTGCCCAAACAGCTAGCTCTGATTTTAAGAAGCCTTCTTAAAATAAGGAAAGATGAAAATAATGGTCAAATTCTCGCTGTAGAAAAGGTTAGGAAAGCCCTTTTTCAATTCATCTATTTCAGGTATCACCTAGGTACACACTCTCTTCCTACAAACTACAGAGCTATTAAAATAATACCTCAACACCCCCAAACCAGCCAAAGTTTCACTTCTCAACCTAGAGTTGAGATAACCTAGAGTTACCTGCATGTGTTTGCCTTCATACATGCCCAAGTGCTTTACTGTTGTAATATTAAACCAGACCTGCTTTTTATCTTTGAAAGCACTTCCCTCCCAGCTCAGCTCCATTTTCACAAGAGTAAAAATTCATTGTCTTTTCATACAACGTGGCTACCATACTGAAGGTATAAAAGATGGAACGACATGTGCATCTCTAGTTAGCAAAATGATCCAATAAAGATTAGGCCTGTATTAAAGACTGAAATAAATTTTTTTCACACATTCAGATATTAGTTAACATATACTTTTACCTCTCCTGACATATCAGGTGCCATAGGAATGACTGGCCACAAAGAAGAGTAGATTCCAAAAAACACTATCCAAAGTGCTATGCTGCCCCAGATAGCTATATGGCTGAACTGTTAAACAGAAAAAGAGAACAGATGCATTGTAACATAAAATAACATCTTTGTTACTCAGTATTTACAATGGCATTTTGATGTATTGGATGAAATTTCTGTTTCTTGTATGAATTTAAGTCTGCTACTTCAATTAGCTATTTCTTAAAGGGAAATGATACTATCAGCAGCAATATTACTGCATTTTAAGCCAATTTAAATTCAGTTACAATCAGTTCAGAGTAATTTGATTTTTCTAGTTTAAGGATTACTTTAAGCCTCATCCCAATGTCCTAGTTTTCAATATGAAGCATTACTTTTTTTATGTGGACATTCTGTCCTTCCCTGCAGTAACCACAGTTTAGTTTGATACTGTGTGGACTGCTGACAAACTGTAAGGGCCTAATATATTAAAGAAAAAAACAACAAAATTATTAACCCATCGTATTTTATGGAACATTTGAGAATATGGTAAAGACATTTGCTTACCAAAGTCCAATATGAGGTCTCTAATCCAGCCTTCAAACATACAGTCAGAACCACAAACTTAAAGAGAGAAAGACAGAGGATTCTTATTTAATATAGGAATCTTAACATACAGAATTTATTAGTTTGCTTAAACTTCCAGGAAAACAGAACAAAAAGAACCAAGAAATCAAACTGATATTCTGTACAAAGCACTCAGCTTTTGAAAAAAGGTCCCCTCAAAAATGGTTGTACAAATACTTTCACAGCACTTCTATTGGAAATTTCTGTTTGAAGAAATAAGGTCCCTCAAAAATGGTTGTACCAATACTTTCACAGCATTCCTATTGGAAATTTCTGTTTGAAGAAATAATTCCAGGATGTGATATAAATCAAATTTTTTGGGGGATCCAAAGGAACTAAACTATATTCATTTCTGAATCGCTTTCCTACTGATTTTCAATTTTTTCGGGGATCCAAAGGAACTAAACTATATATTAATTTCTGAATCGCTTTCCTACTGATTTTGCACAGCTGATCAATGTAGACTTCGTAAGACTACATTAAAAGCAGCACGAAGAATGAGAAGTACCTTAGCCTCATTATTTTTGATCAACGTAGACTTCGTAAGACCACATTAAAAGCAGCACGAAAAATGAGAAGTACCTTAGCCTCATTATTTTGGTATTTCAAGACAATGACTGAGAACTGTCAGTGCACATGCACAGATTAAAAAGAAAAAAAAAGCCTCCATCCCTGTTTTGAAAGCCTCTCAAATCTTCATGTGTGCTCCAGACCTCCTTGAATTCCTGTGCAAGAGCAGGAATACATCGACTGCATCCCTGTCTACCCCAAGACTTCTAATGTGAAGTGAAGGAAAGGAGAGTTTTCTTGTGAAATTGTTGGCCACTCTGCAGGTTAGTGGCAAGCAATTAACCTCTCAAGATGCTGGAGCTTCAATTCTCCTAGTTGAAAACCAGTTGAAGAAAGTGACAGATCAACTGCACTGTGACCTCTCTTAGCATTTATCGATACACCTTGGCAAACAATAATGAACAGCTCCAGGTTACTAGATTGAAAATATAATAACTCATTTCTGAAGGCATTGGAAAATGTTGCTACAGATTTCAAAAACTGTAGGCTCTGATGTCTGTGACTCAGCTGATGTCACAGATGATACCCACACATTCTGCAGTACTATTATATTTCAAGACTTATCAATTAACTGATGGGTGACAACCTGAACAACAGGTTCTGCAGTACTATAATATTTCAAGACTTATCAATCAACTGATGGGTGACAACCTGAACAACAGCACATTTTGAACACTCAGTTTCACAGGACTTAATGTAATCCAGTAAACTCTTAGTACAGACCATGTAACTTGTTTTCTCCTAGTGCCAAGCTTAGCTTTTAGAAAGAAGCCCAAAGCAGAGTGACTGGGTAGGATGTAGTTCTGAGATTGCTTCAGGAAAAAGCTTCAGCTATGACTGCAGCAGTTATGTTGACTAATTAGGTTCAACAAGTGTACACAGCTAACTCCACAAAATGATGGCTAATACAATGGATACAATAAGTGTACACAGCTAACTCTACAAAATGATGGCTAATACAATGGATACTTGTAAAGCAATCAAAGAAAAGGAGATGCTACCAGAAAACTTGGGTTTCTGTGCTAGGACAGGTGAAGTTATCTAAGTAATGTATACATACATACAAGTCATAAACTTCTGCTGAACTGAGCAAGGCTGCAACTTCTAACAACAGTAAACAATGCAACATTTGCAGATAGGGTGAAAACCTGGAGCAGAGAACTACTCCCCAGGCAGAACCTGTTTCACTTAAAACAACAGGTGGTTCTGGTAGATACTTTTATGAAGTATTTACCAATGTTGGGGAAAGAAGTGACATTCATATAAACGACTGATTCCTAAACAGTGTCTGGTGTTATGAGAACATAATACAAATAGACCTGTGCCAGCTGAACTGCTTCTGTCAGGACTCAGCTATGACAGTGACTGTGACCTTACATCTTAATTTTATTAAGACTTGCACAGACAACACTCACCCAGGATATTCCATCTGTCCCTAATGGAGACCAGTTCATCACATGATAGATTGCACGATCATATGCAAGGACTGGCAAAACATGCTGTGCTTGCCTTTTGGACCAGGGAAATGGAATTGGTAGATCAAATAAGCTTTTAAGAGAATGTGTGAACAGTTTTCCTATGTGCCTGAAAGAACCAGTTTAAAGGCCATGTACTGACTGGCAGTGAACAGCAGCTGAGACCTCCAAGGACTACAGTGTATCTAGAATACTTCCTTTTATTTCTGTTATGATGTTTCCCAATTCCCTAATGAAATTGATTTTGACACCAATTTTTATTACAGCCCCCTTATTTTGAGGAAAGAATTAATTTCTTTTTGTATCTGCCAACAGCAGGAACTTGTAAAATTAACTCTTAACACTGAAGAACAGAGGACAATAAGTCTAACTTTGTTTCTAAGAGAGATCTTGGAAAACCCTCTTGTATTGGGTTAAATTCTTATCTAGCAAGTGAAAAACAGATATTTAGCTTCATTCATTTATTCTAGCAGATAGAAGATGAAAAGAAAAACACCACCAGTAATGCCTAATATCTATGAGAGTAACAGAAGATTACTGTTAGGTGTGGGTCAGGTATAATTCTGGCAGCTTGATTGCCTCTGAAAGGACATCAGATGAACATTTGTTCCATCTGGTCTACCCCTCTTTCAGGGCCTCATTATAAATTAAGAGAGAACACAACTGAATCTTCACAAGTCCACAAATCAGTTCTATAACCAATAACCTATCTCCAATGCAGAAATTTACATGAATAAGCATGCTAATTAGGGAATTATAATTCCTATTATTTAAATAAATAGTTTCCAGTAAAGGACAGACATATCTTCTGCATCTTTATTAAACTGCTTTGTTTTAAAAACTGGAATTAAAATGCAAAAAGTACTTCAAAGCTTCTCACAAAGTCATTCAAGAGCCATTTCTTACTCTTAACGCATTTCACAAGGCACTGAATCAAGTCTTCTATGAAGAGAATTATAAATAATAATTAAACTACATCTCTTAAACAGTTAAAGATAGAGCCAATATATAAAGTCAGCAGATAAACCAGCAGACAGCTGAAGGAAGACTTACAGTGTATACAGTGTTCCCCAGGAACAGGTAATCTGAAGTTTTACCATTGCCAAACACAGTACCTGGAGAAGGAAACAGTGATAAAAATAAAAGCATTTAAACATCCACAATAGCACTATGTATCATCTTATTTCTTGTGCAAAAGTGATGGTGGCACTTTCTACACGGTACTAATCCATTTTTAACTGGACTGGACACTAGAGATCTTCTACTTTTATAACTTTTAGTGCTTTAAAACTTTCAGTGATTTCAGGGATTATGCTAGAAACAGGAACTTTTTGTAACAGTATATACCATTATGGCTAATATTGTAGCCAGTGATAATTCAATTAGAGTTACTTTTAATGTCAGAGATACAGTATCTTACCTTAGAAAAACAGGAAATGTAATGGCTATAGCATACATTGATTTTAACATAAAAGTAAACAGAAAGCTTAGAGTCAAATTTTTACTAACTGTGGGTGTTTTTTTGCATAGAAACCTATCTTTGCTTTTATCCATATTTCTGAGGTTCAGTTTCAATAAAAATATAAAATATACTCAGTTCAAATTCTTGAGATGCTTGTTGTTCATAAAATGTTCAAACTTCTTCCAACTCAAATATGTGGATTCATACAAGTACATATTCATTTTGCACATATGGATACACACACACATTAGCTATGCAAAGAATCAGAGCTCTGAAGAGATGTGTTTGCATAAAAACACATCTAGTATGTTTCTTAAGTTCAGGAATCTGAAGCAGTGCATTTATGATTATTTATCAGAATTTATTTTATGACTATTGCTTCAGCACAAGTTTTTTTTATCCCAGTTCTGTCAAAGTTCTTGGCAGACATGAGACACAGACAACTGAACTATCTCAAGGAAATTCCTCACTCTGCATTAATAGTACTGCCAGACCCATGGCAGGTACAGATTATACAACCCCACCATGTACACAATCCTCAGGCTGCAATTCTGCTGTCTTAACTCACCTGTCCTTTCTCTAGGAATGAAAGGGAAGGCAAAAGGCAACTGGTTCAGACTTGCAGAGGTCATTCACCAGCAGGTCAGTTCTAGCCCCAGGGACTGCAGGACTTTCCTGGCCAGGGACAAGGCCTGTGCTACAGTGCTCTCACAAGTGCTCATACAAGTATCCCAACTCTATTCTGCATCACCACATATACTCAAACACTTCATCATGCCATGCAAAAACACTCATCAAACACTTCATCATGCCATGCAAAAATCTCTCACAAAGATTGGCTACAGCTTTGAAGAAGGGTTTGGTTTTGAGGTTGTGGTTTTAGTGCATTATGACAATGTGCATTGACATTTTGGGATCTCACTCATCCTGGGCTGTCTAAACCTCCCTAATGCAAACTGTGGCCACTGAGCACACATTCAGTGTGCTCTGAGTGGCTGTTCAGAGAAAACAGGCTGCTACCCACCTCTCTTTACCCATTAGAAGGCACTGAGTGTAAAATACTCTGCAATAAATTTTACCCTTAACCCTTCCAGGCACAAGCAGCTGTGACTGTCTCACTGTCTAGTCTCAACAGTTCCAAAATGCCTGTGAGAATATTTCTGTCCCCGATGCCAGGGCAGACTTCCTGGCTATATCACCAAAACCCAGCAAATTAATTTTCAGAAAAGCTGCAAGGTACACACTTGGTTTCTTCTCCACACAAAGTGGAAGCAAACCAAAACCTCAGCCCTACGAGAGCTCCCCAAGCCCCAAACATTCCCACAGACTGGAAGCAGTGCTTTCAAGCTTTCTTTAATTAACACTGCTTCTGTCCCAGCCACCACACTGCCTTCTGCAGCTCAGGTGCACTAGAAGATGGACAGGACTGAGCTGTCCAAAATGTCACTGCTGCTCTGCCACAAACCTACTCATAGAAATATAAACTAGCAGGTTAGTACATCCTTGAAGTAAGAGCAGAGAAGGTATACACAACAGCAATAAAAGTTGACAAAATGGAAAAGACAATACAAGCAACAGTAGCAACTTAGGGTCTTGTAGGCATTTACCATGGTGGTGTACTATCTAAAACTTTGCATAATCAAATAGCAATCTCTTTTTGTCTACCTTGTTTCAGTTTACATAAACCCTATTTAGATAATTAAATGTATGTATACATAATGTTACTCCTACTTTTAAACAGATTTTAAATAAACCATTTCAAATATACTGCATCTGGTCTAGTTCTAGAAATGGTATGTTGAAATTTAATCACACTAAACTGCTAGTATTTATAAAACCTCCCGTAGAAAATGGAAAAGATTTCGATATTTTGTACTTTTCAACATTAATATTTTTATTTTTCATAATACTTACCATGCTGAAGGGCTTTTAGTGGAAACCAAAACAGAATGAACGAGTGGAAGAGGCCATTTAAACAATGAACCCAGAAAACCTGAGAAAGAGAAAACAGAAAATCCATGAGAACCATTTGCAATAAACTAGCTCTGTGAACCCTGACCTTTCTTTTTATCTGTGTGTTAGATTCACAAAATGTGTTTTTGTCAGGCCACCACTGTGAAGTAATATAACTGACAGGCACTTTCTGCCTCTTAGCTCTTCATGGGTCATTTGTTTATTTTTATGCTTTGAAAAAAGTATGTTTTATCTCCTTCTTTTAATTTCAAATCAAAAGGGAAATTAAAATATAAGCATATGGGAATATCAGCAGAAAAAATAAACTAAACCAGACAACCGGAACAATTACTATATTCTAAGCAGGGAATTAAAAGGACTCTAGCTTTTATAATTTGCATTTTGTGTAAGAATAAATTTACACCGTGGAAAAATCAAAACCTGGGGTTTACATATGCCTACCTACATATTCCCCCCCCCCCAGGAATCAAAAAAGGACAAAGAAAAGTAACTTCTTTAAATTCCTCCTTACATACTCCATTCTTGAAGAGCATAGCTTGCTCACATTAAACTTCCTTTAATGTATTTTCTAAATAATTAAAGTTTCACTTTCAAACTTACTTTCATTTGTAAAAGATGCCTTCTGCAAAGCACTGTATTAAGGGCAAACAATGCTTTCCATAATATTTTGTATAATGACATAAAAAGATAATAAAAATATGTAACATTTTCTTCAGTATAGCAATCATGTTTTTGTCACAACAATTCTTTTGACTATTATGGCCTTTATTGTACCTAACTGATGTGCATTCTGAAGTATTAAGGTGTTCAAACAATTGAAATTAAGTTGCCTGTCTCACATTTTCCACAATGTCTCAAAGTCTTTTGTTTGATTATACAACTACACTAGGCTGCATGATCCAATTTACACTCCAATACTTTGCACATTTAAACTTGTGCTACTCATTAACCTTTGTCTCTCCTCCTTGCTGTGTCATTACCACAAGTTTTTATTTGACAGAAAGCACAGGTGGGTGCAAGAAAAATTAGTTCTACTTTTCCATTTTCCTGACCAATTCTTTTTGTCACATGCTAATCCTTTAACCTCCGTCATGACCTTGTAACCTTTGATCCCTTTTACCATAACAAATATCTGAATCAACATTCAAGGCAGTAATGTTTCCAAATCTTTAACACCAACTATTCAACTTATCTAGGTGGGAATTTTGTAGCTGGGAAGTTTGTAGACATTTACTCATAGCAAGTGTTGTATGAGAACAGCCACAGAATTTCCAATCAAGTCTACAATACATCTGTGCAATAATAAAATTATTAAAGGCTTATTTTAAAACAGAAAAATCCAACAGTTGCTGACCTACACTATTTATTAAAACTATCACAACAAAAAAAGTCTTGAATTTGTAAAGCATTCACAGGGATGCAAGAAACTGTGTTCCCTAGTCTTCTTACAACTCTCAGCTTTGTTTCTGTAGGGGAAGAGATGAAGTCAGGAAGCAGAAAAATCTCATCTGCTTCAGTGGAGAAAGAGTTGAGATAATTCTGTATATATTGGGGTAACTTCATCTTTACAGCAGAAGTGGCACAGATATAAGACCTAGGCATGCTGTAACAGATCATCACATGTAGGCATTGTTAATTCAATGACATTGAAAATGTCCCCAAGTTCAACATACAGTAACATTACCTGAAATGTCACAATTATATTTATGGAAAATAAAATCAGAAGGAACTCTTAACAACATCGAATAGCCATGAAATCACAGACTCGGGAACAAGTTTAATTTGGTTTTTTTAAGAGATTATGATGGACAATTCTCTAGAAATTTTGTGTATTTTATGTATTAAAGAGTCCTACATTCTTTTACTACTTCTTATACTAGTCCCTCTAAGGTAAATGTTACCATTTCCTATCAAAAGTAGCCTCAGATTCCTTTTGATCCACCCTGACACATTGTTGACTCCAAGTATTTTTTCCCAAAACTCAAAATTAAACCATAAAATCACAACTCCAAATTGACACCGAATAGTACCACGTCCCTCCCTCTACAAATCTGATGACAGTTCTTATTGTCCTCTGCAACACTTCTCCACAGGCTTCAGTAATCCATTTCCATATAACAGTACAAATACATACAGCTCAGCAACAGTGAGGTCTAATCACTTCTCCCTAAAGAAGACAGCTTTATTACCAGCAGAGAGCAAAAAAAACAAAAAAAAAAAAATCAGGGCTGAAAAAAATAAAGTGCTTGTTGCCCATTTCAGTATTTACTAAAAAGGAGTATATATGATTTGCACCATTCACAGACAAGCAGACAACTGAAAAGAGTATTAACAAAAACCCTCACCATTTTTAATTATAACCAGCATAGAGCAAACAGGATAACTATACTGAATTCCTATTAATTTCTGCTTTATTATATTTTATTTTTTAAAAAAATCAACCTTAGTATTGAAGTCCAGTGCATTTTGGGAAGTCTTGTATAACTCAGGATATTTCAGCATGTTTTCTTTTCGGCAGGATCTCTCAAATATTCCAAGAGTTAGTGGTGGCATTGCTGTAAACATCTAGTAGATTAAAAATAAAACAAACAAGGAAAACTTTAGAGGCAAGGATGGCTTAAGATTGCTTACTCAACAAAATTTCATGGTTAAAAATAACTAAAACCACACAAATCATCTTACCACATTGTAAAGACCTATACACCATCTTTCAAAAAGAATTTGTCCAGAAAAGCCATTGACGAATGCAAACCAGACCTGAAAAAGATTAGAACTGTGTATTACTCAAATGTCTTGAGAGGTAGGATATACAGAATTTTCCTCAGCTCTGCACCAAGGGTTCTCCTTAGAAAACATTTACAACACAGTTGAAAATGTTTTGGTTTAAACCCACATAGACAAAAAATTCAATAATAAAATCAACTCACAATCAAGAACAGATAATGGGCAACCTAGTCAAATATGTGACCAATTCCAAGCAAATATGAAAACATTCAAATGAGGTAACTATTTTCAGAAGAAATGTCAGGTTCTTTAAGTATTTGAGTGATTTAAGGTCACTTCATTATTAATGAAATAAATATTCTGAGAAATATGGGGTGATGGAGGTGATGTAGTGAGCTGATGTAGTACTACGTGATGTGTTTTTTTTAGATTGTAAACTTTTCTTATTTAGTATGAGCCAGTTATGCTATTAATACTTATTACTAGCTAGAAGAATGAAAAGTAGAAACAGGGAGATTTTGTCCCACTGATGTTGAAGGGTGATTTGCATAACTTCATAAAATGAGTAGTTTAACAGAAGAGTGTCTGCAGTAATGGTAATTATAAAATCAAAACCAATCCACAAAGGAGGTCTCAATCACTAGATCAATCTCAAACCCAACCATCATTCTGAGGTAATGACAGCCCCTTCAAAATGAGACTCTGCATATCCTAGGTGAGGATCTATCTGCTTATCTCAGGTGAGTGTGATGCTCTGTACAGGGTTAATAATTCACATTAGTGGGCTATTACAAATTCAGAGCTTTTGCTTGCCATTTACTTCAGAATATAAACCTCTAAAGTCACTGGGAACAGTCCCCTACAAAAGATGAGGCCCATATTTAAACAGCCATTGCACCAAGACACACAGTAGGAAAAAAATAGTTACGGGCCAGTTTTAGTTTCTTATGAATAGGAGTTTAAATGTCAGTAAACACTAAGCACTGTGCAGGAGTATTGCTATAGACCTTTACCATTTTTTAAACCAAGAAACCAATGACACTAATTCCTATCACCTCAG